ATGCAGGCTATAGACTGTTTAGTATAACCTGTATGCAAGGCGCATAATGCTTTCGGAATGTTTTACTTCCATGTCAACCCATATACATGGATGGTTTTCATCCAACTTTTCCTCCTATCCATATAACCTTGCGTGCGCATGTGCTTACTGTTACGTTTGCTGTCAGTTCTAGTGTTATTGCAGACCCTGAATGTTTGAGAGCCAAGAATTAACGAAATTTCAAGTCAGGATAAAATGAACTATGTTTCTTGTTTTGGAAATATCAGAAACACCTTGACACGAGTTTTGAATGAGCACGCGGTTATTATACAATTCTTCATACACAAATGTTTGAATTTTTGTGTCGAATACTTAAAAAACAAACCTTGTTAATTCTAGCGTTTTATATTATTTTATAGCTGGTCCTTTGGTATTCTTCTTTGGGAAATGGCCACCATGGGTAGGTTAAAAAAATGGTTATTTTTTTAAATTTTATTTCTTCCTGTATTTCCGCAGAAGACAAATTTTTCCTTTGTCATATTTCTCATTTTTCTGATGTAATTTAGGAGGTATACCATATCCTACACTGACCAATTCAGAGCTGTGTAGACTTTTGAAGACTGGTTATCGCATGGAAAGGCCTAATACGTGTTGTGACGAAGTGTAAGCGATTGAATTAAGATGTGTTTCGTTGTCGTTCATTTGAAGTAGGATTGATTAGTGAGATGTAGCCTTTTGGCTTACTCATGCCTCTCTCTTTCTATGATAGATATGAATTGATGTGTGAATGTTGGAGGGAAGATCCGTCGACTCGTCCCAGTTTCTCGGAGTTGATTGAGCGACTGGAGGTGATCATGACGAGGGATGTACCATATTTTGACTTGAACAGGCATGATGAGTCACGCCCCTGCTATAACGTGCCCTCCTGAAAGCGGATGAGTTCGTGGAAATGAAAGTAACAAAAGAATCCATGGCTGGTAAAATACACTGCAGGTTTACTTAGTACCATGTAAAACTTGGAATAAATATCCTTACATGTTATAACTGAGACTAACTTCACATAGAGCCGTTTTCTTTTAAGTGTTGAAAAGTAATTGGTTTTGCATCAACTATGCTACACCATTGGCTTAAAGATCTAGGGCCACTTTTTCATCCAATCAGAAGTAAAACCAAAACAATTGTGACACACTCGCACTCGTTTTCCTGCGCTTTGCGTCAGCTACATGTTATTACTTTGATTGGATCATTGGATTGTCTACGTCCTTCGTGATTGGCTAAAGGGATTACTTTGGCTTTGGTTTTACGGCATTCAATTGAAAACTGCCCTAAATTGGTAAAATCGATTTAATGAAATTACTTCCTATTACACTGTAACTGATTCTGCTGTGCTAGTTATATACGCTGAAATCTGAAGAAAGCAACATTGAAAAAGAAGAGACCAGACAATAAGATGGCTACGTTTGAAGTTCTTGGCATCTAAGAGAAAATTTAAGGTGCTTTAGATGGATTTTAAGATTGTGAGTTGTAATTTAAAACAAGAATTTTAAATTTTAAATCCTTCTTGTTAATTCCATGATGCTCGGATTTTGTTACTACTGTAGTTGTAAATATTTGTATTAAAAATAACTCATGAGACCATCAGCTAGAAAAGGTCTATAATTTAGAATTCTCGGAATACACGACCACGCGTCGATAAAATCGCAGAGGTAAATAAAGCTAACCTTTATGCTCACTCGAGAAACAATACCACTCCTAACCTCTATTAAGAAATAGGAAAATGGAATGGAAAAAAAAAACTCAATAAAACATTTTGAAAACACCTATTTATACTCATCAATTTGGACTTGACTTTAAATACTGGAATGAAGGGGCAGTAACATGACCCTCGCATAGACAGAATTTGAGACGACGACGGAGTCGAGGTTCACAAAAACGCAAAAAAGAACAAGGCAAACATCTGGCCTTCTTGACTGAACAAGCTTGCGAAGTAAAAAAGAATTTGTTATATGGGATAAAGAAAACAGCAAACAGCACGCAACTTTGTGGGACACAATGCGTCATCCCGGGTGGGCAAGATAAATAGTCATTCAGTCATTCAGTCATTCAGTCATTCAGTCATTCAGTCATTCAGTCATTCAGTCATTCAGTCATTCAGTCATTCAGTCATTCAGTCATTCAGTCATTCAGTCATTCAGTCATTCAGTCATTCGGTCATTCCGTCATCCAGTCATTCGGTCATTCAGTCACTCAGTCATTCAGTCATTCGGCATTCCCACATCACCCATAATACACATTGTTTGCCCCCCCAAATTTTTCTTATTAATTGTATACGGATATGGTAAATGTTATTTTGTATTTGTTAGTTAATGTTGAAACCTTTGTTGTATTTAGACCAATACGGAGAGTTAGGCGCAATAAAGAATGCTATTACTATTACTATTACTATTACTATTACTATTACTATTACTATTACTATTACTATTACTATTACTATTACTATTACTATTACTATTACTAT